CTCGCACCTCCCCAGTTGAGCTAAACTGTGATCAACTCTTTCTCTCTTTCCTTCTCCTAGTGCCTCTAACATGAGACTGCCGCTGCTCGTGTCCGCGGGCGTCCTGCTCATGGCTCTCCTGCCCTGCCCGCCATGCAGGGCCCTCGTCATCCGGGGGCCTGTCCCAGGCTCCCGACAGACCCCACAACTTCCCCAACCCCGAGATTTCTTCCAGCCGCCGCGGCGGCAGGTCCTTCCAGTTCAGCCGGTCCCGCTCACCACGGGGGAAGAATACTTCTTCCGCCAAGGTAACCTCAAAGAGAGCCCCGCTGCTCCCCTCTGGTCAGCCTCCTCGCCCCTCGCCCTCCGCAGCAGCAGCCACCTTTCTCCTCACAAGGTAACCGCCAACTTTTTCCGCGCATTGAGACAGCTGCGATCGCTTCCCCAGCGCCCTCTCAATAGCCCTGCGAGTCCCGCTGAGCGTGGTGCTGAGAGCGCCCTCAGCGGTCGCCAGGAGGCCCTGGAAAGGGAGAGGCGATCCAGGGAAACTACCACCTCGCTGGATCTCACCTTCCACATCCTCAGAGAAGTCTTGAAAATGGCCAACGCGGAGAAGTTAGCACAGCAAGCTGAAAGCAACAGGAAACTGATGGAGATTGTTGGGAAATGAAACGGTGCGTTTGGCCAAAGCGATTCTGCATTAGCGCAAAAATAAAAAAATATAAAGTATTCTGTACCATAGTGTGGCTTTGATACCATTTGTTTATTTTCATATAGCTTGAAACATAGAGGATGTATAACAAGAGCACCTGTTCTCTTTAATTAGAATGCACAAAGTGTATTCATGTGCAGTAATAGCAACAAAATAGTATTTGTATTGTCTACTTTTAGTTTCCATTTGCAGGTGTCTTTAATGGTGATTAAAAGAGTATAGACCCAGGAGGAAACGTTTTGAAGAAGCAGACAGAAATAACCCAACTGATTTTGCTGTGGTCTGAACCAAAGAGAATGTCATTCTCTTTGGTGGGTGAGAGAAATCATGTAAGCTCTTTGAATCAACTTTTCACTAAGGGGACCATGGATGGAGCACAGAGCTGCTGAGCAGCAGAGGGTATATTTCCATAGAAAAGGGGAGCTGAAAAACTGCAACAGGTACATTTCCATAGACTGAGGGAGCTGGAAACAGCAGGTCTATATTTATAAAATAAAGGGAAGGAAGCCCCTCATCCAGAAGGAGAAGAAGAAAGCCCAAAGGAAATAGGAAAACAATAAGGGAAGAGGGGAGGAAAACCTCACATGTCCCATGTGTGGTTTGACCTTGGAGCTCAGGAGTTACTATAGTAACCAGTGCGGAACTGGGCTCAGCCAGAAGCCCGGCTCACAGGTGGCAAGCTCGGCAGAGCTCCTGCCTCCCCAGCAGTGCTAAGGACCCTTCCAGGGATATCTGACTGCTGGCAGGCGGACATCCCCTGAAGGGTCCCAGACTATGAGAGGCACAGGACGGGCTGAGAATTGCTGCAAAGGTAATCCTGACTTACTTTTGCTTTTCAATGATAGTAGTAGAAATAGTCTCAGTTATTGGACTCCTCCAAACTTACTTAAATACAAGAAAAGACAAAATCCCTTGCATTTTTTTCTACTACAAATGCAAAGATAAACCAGTGGCTAACACAGATCCTGTAGTCTCCTTGGGTTCATCTCTGTACCTCAGATTACTCTTCTAAGATAGAGTTAAATAATTTGAGAAGTTGCTTCCAGCTCTAAGACTTGCTAATTCTATACATGGAAGATCTATTCGTAATGGAAATAACATTTAGCCCTGACTAACTATAACATGTAAACTAATTGGGGAGGGTTGGGGCAGGAGGAAAGGGA